ATGGAGATGAGCACCTCCCCCTATGGTCGGAAAGGACTTGACAATCTTGTCAACGGGGAATACCTTTACCTTTATATGTAGCCTAGGACATTGGAAGACCGGGGTTCAAATCCCTGCTCATCCACAGAAATCTACTGGGTGACTATGGGCAAGTCACATTCTCTCATCCACAGAGGAAGACAAAGGCAAACCTTCCCTGAACAAATCTTCGCAAGAACACCCCATGAAAGGCCTTAGGGCAGTGGTTCCCAGTCTTAGGTTTTCCAGATGTTTTGGACTTCAGCTCCCAGAATTCCTGACTGTTGGCCAAGCTGGCTGGTCTGGGAGTTGAAGTCCAAAACATCTGGGGGACTAAAGTTGGGGAATCACTGCCTAAGGGTCTCCATATGTTAGAAATTACTTGAAGGCACACAACAACAACAACAACAACAACAATGGCAACAACAACTCTCTCTGTCTCTAATCTTTAACAGTTGAAGAAGGTGGAAATTGAAACATTTTGCTCTTTATATTTTAAAGTTCTGTTTGTCAATTGCTTCAGTATATATGTTTGTGTGTGTATATACAAGAGACACTGTTTCTGGAAAAAAATTGTTTTCATTTTCCTAACTTTACTTATTCTCCCCAAACATGTGTGTGCATGTGTATAAAGAAATAAATTTAGGAAAAATTAAGACAACTTAATTTTTTTAAATTAGAATTGCAAAACAAATGTCAAAAGATGCAGATATCCAAAAGCCAGTTATTTATAAAAGCAAGTCATTGCTTGTGATTTTTCATTTCTGTTAAGAGTTTCTAGAATTACTGTATATGGTTTGAAGAAATGAAACATTTATTGCTTTTTTCATGATCAGTTTGGCAGACTATTTGGCAAACTAGATTATCTAGAAATACACATTTTATCAGCCAAATCATCAAGAAATGCTGAGAATGAGTGACCTTTAATGACATCCCTCCAATGAGTGAGCCCCATTATGACTGGCAGAAATAGGGTCTTTTGTGCAATTTCCCCATCGTGCCAGGGATCACTAGTGCAAAGGGCAGTGAAAATGACAGCCAGCTGCTTCCGAAGCAAAGGGGAATGAGCCCCTGCTTATTGTAGAGGCTGCTTAATGGTAAGTGGAAATTGGGGGACTTTCACAGTCCCTACATAGCCCCTAAACTTGGTTGAGCAAACCCGTTGTTTGTTGTTGTATGCCTTCACCTCATTTCCAACTTATGGTGACCCTAAGGCAAACTTATCATGGGATTTTCTTGGCAACATTTGTTCAGAAGATGTTTGCCATTGCCTTCCCATGAGGCTCAGAGCATGTGACTTTCCCTAGGTTACCCAGTGGGTTCCATTGCCTAACTGGGAATTGACCCTGGTCTCCAGAGTTGTAGTCCAACACTCAAACCACTAGGCCATGCTGGCTCTCTTGAGCAAACCCAGGGACTATGAATACGTAATTCTCATAAGTGTATAACTTTACTGCTTACATTTCCTCTATCTACACTGGTCTATGTGTGCACATGTATCTTCTCTGTGTATCAGATAAAATGCACTGTATAACTAAAGCTTAGACCATAATACATCTAGTAGTTTTAAGGTGCTTCAAGACACCTTATAGTTTTCCTACAGAGTCCCCCTTTTTGCACAGTATGGTGTAATACAACCAAGGGTGAATCTAAGGGCCTCGGCAGACGGCTAATTGAGCCGTCTCCGAGGCCAGGAAGAGGAGGAGCAGCCACACGCGCGGCGCTCCTTCCTCTCCCTGAGGTCGTCCTCGGAGCCGCCGGCCCTCCGCTCCGGGGACAACCTCCCGCCGCAGCGACCGGACGCGCTGCGGCGGAAAAGACAGAGAAAGTGCGCCCGACACTTTTAGGGCACACTTTCCGTCTTGAGGAAGGAGCTCTGATTTAGCGCTCCTTCCAGGGACGCCGCTGGTGCGCCGAGGTGCGGAGGCTGCGGCCCCGCGGCGCACCGGCCCAGGGCGTCTGGGAAGCTCTCTTATGCTTCCCCCCTAAGTTTCTAAACTTTTAAAATAATGAAGATTGACACCACTGTAAGTGCAGTAGCTCCATCCTTTGGAATCCTGGGATTTGTAATTTTACAAGATCTTTAGCCTCCTCTGTCAAAAAGTGCTGGTGCTTCACCAAACTACAAATTCCAGGGATTTGTAGGACAGAGCAATGGCATTTAAAGTGGTGTCAAACTGCATTATTTCTTCAGTGTAGATCAGGGGTAGGCAACCTTTTTGAGCCGGGGGCCTGGTTGCTCTCCCTCA